TCCGCGCGCGCGAGCACCTTCGCCTCCAGATCCCACGGCGGTAATCCGGCAAGGAGGTTCGCCGATTTCCCGGAGATCGTGCGGTAACCGCGAATCATTCGGATCGCCATGACCCTCTGTACCATGAGCAGCGCCCGACCGGGCCGCCGCATCAGGTTCGGCGCCCACACAGGGGCGCCGTAGAGGGCCATGGACCGCACGACCCCGGCGTATAACCTCCGGCAGGAGGCGTTTGGCCCCCCGACGTTGGAGAGGATGCGTTTGAATGCAGCCCCCGTCCTCAAAACAAGTAGAATAGGCTATAGGTATTTTGAAATCTGGCCTTTACGGTCACCTTAAGTTTAAAAGATCGTACGAACGACCTTTTTGTAACATATGTATTTTACTTTTAACATTATTACGCAATAAACTTCTGAATGCACGTAGAAATGAAGAACAAATTTGTATCACCGAGTGTATTCGGGAAGCGTCGTGATCGTTCGGGTAAATTCGTAATTCTCCGCGTGAGTGGCAAGCGCGAAGCGAGCTGCACTATGATTATGAACGACCACACTGGGTATTAGTAAGTATGACGTCAGACCCGGTCAATAGGGCCGTACTGTCAGTTCCGTCACAGTCTATACAGTCGTCCAACGAAGACGTCTAGACAGGGCAATCGTGCGGGGTGTGAAGGGCGAAACGCGGGTAGGCCGATCCCGAGCTGCGAACAAAACGATGTTAGTAGCTCGGGATATATTATTCAGGGCTAACGCCTGTTTGTTTTTACCGACTTCAAAACAAGGAGGAGGCACTATGTTCGAATGATTGTTTCTTTTTTATGTATGTTTGCCGTTGCATTAAATGTTTAATTTATCGTCATGGGTGTCGTTTTCATGGTTTTCGAGGGTAGTAAAACCGATAGTGCTGTCAAAATGTAAATCCAAGATGGCGGCTGCACGAAATTTTTAATTTATCGCCACCGGTATCGTATTCATGGTTTTCGAGGGTAGTAAAACCGATAGTGCTGTCAAAATGTAAATCCAAGATGGCGGCTGCACGAAATTTTTAATTTATCGTCATAGGCATCGTTTTCATGATTTTCGAGGGTGGTAAAACCGATGGTGCTGTCAAAATGTAAATCCAAGATGGCGGCTGCACGAAATTTTTAATTTATCGCCATGGGTATCGTATTCATGGTTTTCGAGGGTGGTAAAACCGTCGGTGCTGTCAAAATGTAAATCCAAGATGGCGGCTGCACGAAATTTTTAATTTATCGTCATAGGCATCGTTTTCATGATTTTCGAGGGTGGTAAAACCGATGGTGCTGTCAAAATGTAAATCCAAGATGGCGGCTGCACGAAATTTTTAATTTTTCATCATGGGTATCGGTTTCATGGTTTTCAAGGGTGGTGAAAATGATGGTGTTGTCATAATGCCAATCCAAGATGGCTGCTGCCCGAAATTTTTAATTTATCATCATGGATATCGTTTTCATGGTTTTTGAGGGCGGTGAAAATGATGGCGCTGTCAGAATCAAAATCCAAGATGGCGGCTGCATGAAATTTTCAATTTATCGTCATGGGTGTGTATTATCTAAACGATTTTGTTTTGTTTTCGACAACCACGCGAACGAAGTCGCGGGCACAGCTAGTATAAAATAACACAGTTATGAGTTAGATACCTATATTAAATAACAAGCAGCTCATCTTGGCTTTGCTCAGAAAAAAATAAATTTATTTGTTGTAGCCTCTAGGAGATTAACTCCTTTTCATCCCGGGAAAATGTACGTACCTATCCTATGACAATGACATGCCGAAGTTCACTAGTACATATATATCCCGTATCCCGTACTTCATCGTAAGTACATACACTAGTCGTTTGTTCTCAAATCACGAAACTAGTGCTAAAATGGCGGCACCCACTACGGCATGGCGGTGGCATTTCTTACCTTACCATATAGGTACAGGGACTGATTAGCACCGGCGCGAACTTTACTCAATAACACGTTACGATATTTGGTGTAACTTGTAACTGTTTCATTTAGTTCAATTACAACATTTCCTTGTCACTAGTAACCATTGGTATTTGCCACGTAGGCTGGGCACTCGTTTGTGAACTAATTGCTGGTATCTTGTGGTAACGAAAACAAATAGAAGTAATTAGGTAAAAGGTTTTACTTGAGTACAAGCTGAAAGTATTCAAGCCTAAGCCCGGAAAACTACGTACTGCCTCAAAATTTTTTTACCCAGCTGTTTATCTAATCTTTGCAACCTTCCCTGGATTTCCCCGAACACTTCAATGACTAACATTAGCCAAATCGATTCAACCGTTCTCGAGTTTTAGCAAGACTAACGAACGGATTTTTTTTTATTTATTTAGATTTCATATTACACATTTTTACAGCGAAGAGATGCTAAGAAGATAAATAAATCTGATGATTATATGGAGAGTGAAGAGTACATCTACCAGTCGAATTTCTAGCCGCACTGGTTGACATTCAATGGCTTCTACCTAATTAAAGAAATAACGTAGTATAAGGAAAGTCTACTTCATAGTATTTGCATACATCATCCAGAGTTCAGGAAACGATCGAGACTGTAGCCCTAGCAGTCATTACCGGAAAATAGGTACAGCATAGAGGTTAGAGAGTCATACAAACCTTAGTAAAAACCATCACAATTTTTAATTCATATTTTCCTTAAAGAATACATTCAGATATAACCATATGCAATGAAAAAGACTTTATGGACGTTACTCCAAATTCAATTCCCTCAATTAATGTCATATCGAATTGCAACTAAATTGCGTGAAGACAGCTTTGTTGGGCAATAAAATATTTTGATACAAATATTAAGTTAAGCCGAATCCAGAACCGTATCATTTAACGTAGCATGTAATACAAGTCACGATCTATGGTGCGTCGGTGCGCGCTATTCGTCGGAATGCGAGCGAGCTCAGCATTGTATGCAACCTCAGTGGTGCACCTGCGCCCGTGGGAATCCGACATTTTCGGTCCAAATAAGACTTATTGTATAACAATTGAAGGATACTGATTTTTTATTGACATTGTTAGTAAGTTGTTGCGTAATAGAGACGTTGGTGGTCTTTATATTTAGGTGCGTACCACAGTAGGTACACATCTATTTAGGTACAGTCTATACCAGTGTATTGTGAGCTAGGAAGTTCTATAATGAAGGTCATTTGATTATCATATTCTTTTTGGCAAGTGACTGACTGATTGGCCACCAATGTCTTTGATGTTGATGACAAGGAAATTCTACAGGAATCTATTCAATTCTAATTCTATCGAATCGTATAATGTAGTATAAGAAACTTTAGTTTAACTCAGAGAACTCTATCTGTCGAACTTAACAGGTTACCGGGGCTCCGGCTCGACGTGCAGGAGAAGGAACGGGTTGGTTTTTAGTCAGTAAGAGTCTGACACTCCCTCCCGCCTCACCCAGGCGGGAGCAGTCATTCGATGATTTTCCCCCCTTAAAAAAAGAGAACTCTATCTTTTCTAATTAAGATAACAGTTTATTAGTCAATTTTATTTTCCTGGAGTAGCGTTCTCTACAGGCAGCAGCATTGTCTTCAGGCGTTCTGAAAATGTTCGAACGCCGATTTGTAATTCCCAAGCTTATTATTTAGGAGTTTTTGGATAATGCGTGAGTTTATTTAAGCGTAAGTTTATGCAAGGTTGTGTTTCGTTATGTGAGTGACCTCACCCACTCGGGGAACCTTACCAGAGACCCAATTACTCCCCCTCCCTTCTCCAGCCTCCCAATCCCTGAATCCCTAACAATCCTCAAATTCCTAATCCCTAAAAGGCCGGTAACGCCCTTGTAAGGCCTCTGGTGTTCTAGGTGTCCATTGGCGACGTCGATTGTCTGCCATCGGGTAATCCGTCTGCTTGTTTACAGGCTTATCCTATAAAAAATACGTAATAAATACGTAAGTTACGAGTTAAATAATGCATAGTGTTGGTGATATTCGTAATTTTATTATTAAAGGTAGCAACAGTGAGTGAGGTGTGCCGTGACCGATAAAAGATTATGAAACGCACAGAGATAAAAACAACGATTCCGTAGATAATAATGTTTATATTTATTTATGTGACTACAAACTACTAAATTAAATGCTATTTTTAGAAATCATCATTACTCTGAGTAATCTCTTTTCTATTCAATGTTATATATAGTAGAGGAGGAGAGTTGAAGGTCTTCTTTTAGATAAAAAAGTTATTAAATTTTTATAGGGAGTTGTTTAAGCTTCGTCTTCCATAGGATTAATACCTCTTTCTGCTAGAACCTACTAAGAAATACATAACATTGTTATGGATATCTTTTTGGAGGTAAAATAACCTGGATTTATTGGAGAATGGAGAATCATCTGCTTTACAACTCACTATCTTCTGAAGGGTTGTAGCAGCTTAAAGAGAGATTTGACAAAACGTCGACGAATGTGGTCTTGAAGACTTGCTACGTGCAATAATCTAGATGTTTTTACTAGACGTTACCATTTTGTTTTTGGATAGCTAGACAAGCATAATATGTTAGGAGACACACTGTTTTGTTGGCACACTTCCACAAAATACATATAAACGTATAATACATGCCCGTTATCCAATATCTATTGTTGACTATCGTGACACAACATTATTTTCTTAGCTACGTAAAGACGTACGGGAATATTATTGTTCTCTTAAATAGTAAATACTTATCTTAACCTAATAATTACTTTCATAATTACCAATGAACATATTTATTCATTGTACTATTTACCTTATTGCTAAGACTCATATAAAAGTAGTCATGAATGTTTATGTCATTGTTCGCCGCTCATTGGTTTGTTGCACACCGCTTTAAGTTTGTGATTTTCCCGACTAAGTCGACGTGCACACGGCACGCGTTTTCTTTGATAGCACTTTATAACACGATATCACAGTCAAACGATTCAGTCTCCGGACAACATTCTTGTGCTGACAGTGCTTCTCCAAGCTCACCTCCAACCGTGTTATAATGGCTCCCGTCGAGAAGAACCTGAAGGATGAACAGCCCAAATACTTGAAGGGTGACATCAAGGCATCAGCGCTGGAATTGATTGGCAACACGCCCATGGTGGCATTGGACCGCCTTTACAGTGGCCCTGGGAGAATATTGGCGAAATGTGAGTTCATGAATCCTGGTGCATCAATCAAGTGCCGTTCATCGTTAAGCATGATTAACCGTGCTATTGCATCTGGTGAGCTGAAACCTGGTGAACCTGTGGTGGAAATTACTTCTGGTAACCAAGGATGTGGCCTGGCTGTGGTGTGCGCTGTGTTGGGACATCCTCTAACACTGGCTATGTCCAAAGGCAATAGCGTTCAGAGGGCGCTTCATATGGAAGCTCTTGGTGCGAAAGTAGTTCGAGTGGATCAAGTTAAAGGAACCTATGGAAATGTAACATATGCTGACGTCGAAGTTGTTCGAGAAGTATGTGATAAGTTGGTGAAGGACCAGAACGCATACTTTGTTAACCAGTTCAGCAATGAAGCAAATGCAGATGCTCATTATGAAAGCACAGGTCCTGAGATCTGGCAGCAGACTGGACACCACGTAGACGCTTTTGTAGCAGCAGTTGGCACTGCTGGTACGTTTATGGGCACATCGAGATATTTGAAAGAACAAAACCCCAACATAAAAGCATACGTGGTCGAGCCAGCTGGAGCAGAAGCTATTGCAGGCTGTGAAGTCACGAAGCCTCTTCACTTACTACAAGGGTCAGGATATGGATTAATACCCGACTTGCTTAAATATGAATTTATGGATGGTTCATTGAGTGTAACTGATGAGGAAGCTGTGAAGTACATGAAGTTGATTGGTGAGAAGGAAGGTCTATACGTGGGCTACACCAGCGGTGCCAACGTGGCGGCTGCTATCAAACTGTTGGAGTCAGGCTTGGTGCCAGAGGATGCGTGGGTGGTCACGGTACTGGCTGACACTGGACTCAAATATACGCCAGTACCAGAGGAATTAATGAAGTGAAAAGTGGCAGTGCTATAACTGTTTGTTATGTGTATCGTGTAATAAACATCGTGTGATATTAATAGCTTCTATGGCATAAAATATTTTGTGATATTATTTTACTTATCATAGGTTTATTAAGACGTGTATTTAATGATAAGTGATAAACTCTTAAGCAAGGTAAGAAATGAATCAAAATGTTTTAAACAATTTAGTAATTTTGTAAATAAATCGAATGTGTGAAGCACTTAAGTAAATTTTATTTTTATTGACTTAACGCTAGGACTAAATGGTTTTCTACATCCGCCACGTAAGAGTAAATAAATTAGTATCGCAAATATTATTTCATTTTAAGATCACAAGTAATTAACTGAAGTTTTATTATTATGGTAGGTACTTATTGTTTGTGGGATCTACTTTCCATATCTATTATCTCAAGTACAACATAGAGATAAGAAGCTATAGATTTCGGTGCTCTGTATAAATGTGTCAACGCAGTCAATCAGTACTTGATCGATCATCGACATTATCAATATCACTGTTTATTTATCCAACAGTCTTTTTTATATTCATGTGTATTTTAAATTTTTTACATGCAGTCTTTGGTCCCTAAATTTACAAAAAAGAATCTTAATAGGTTTATGTATTAACCAATTTTGGTCATACAACAAATTCCTATGAGTCATGAAAACCTGATAGGAATGAAAATAATGGCGAACTGATATTTAAGTAATTAAAAACAATCTTCTGATGGTTAACTTTATTTGCACTATTGGTGGTAACGTTAAATATGGCAAATAGAAATACAATATTTAAGACAAAGGCGATGAGAGTTAATATGAATAATACGAGTCCTCTGGTTATTGATAGAGGTAAAATAGACGATAAAAATGTGAAATAAGTAAAAGGTTTTAAGGACTTGAAAACAAATGACAATGACCAAATTTGTATGGAGCGTGGTGCCTTTTCATTTTTTCGCGGCAGTTGATCGGATGTGGATAAACTGATGCAGAATAACATTACAAACAAAAAAATGCATGGGGTCTTATATCAAAAACACAGTCCAAACCGAGTTAAATCAGTTCAAAGATGTGAAAATAGTGCTATATAATTCCTGTAATTTTGTTGTATGCGTTGTGTACGGTCATCGTACACAACGCATATTTCTTCATTTACTTGTCAGAAATATTTTGTAATAAATGTTTATAGACGATTTCAAGGAATATAATAAAGCTTATTGTGGACTTTTATTAATAATTTTTTTTTGTTTGTTATTTTTTTTTTTTTTTTGTTATAAGGCCACGGAATCGGAACAGAGTGAACCATTAACTGACCACTGCTGAAGAAAAAAAATATTTCGTTTGATTGGCTAGCGTGTTCAATTTATATGTATACGGTTTATGGCCTATGACAGATTTTCATGATCAATTTCCTCTCAGTCAAAAACCCGCAAAATACTTTACTGAGCCCTATCATGAAATGCTATGTTTATCAACTACGGCGTCGGTAGCGGATTGAGTAGTAACAGTCGTCGAAACACGAAAAAATCATTTTTCTGTCTACTTCTCCCGACTTACTTCCGATTAGTAACTAATCTAACTACAGTTAATACTTTAATCTACATCTGGCATAAGATTCTGTACAAAGACATCGTCATTCAGTCACAAAGTAATGCATTTCGAATGATCATATTATATGAAAAAATTATGCGCTCATCTGACGTATAGTCCATCATTTTTTGTAGTGAACGGTTTGCTTTCTTCAAAAAATGCTAACTATAAAGTAGATGAGTCTCCCACCAGGAGTCAACGGCAAAAAAAATACTTTATTAGATGTTTGGACGGCTACAACTACTCAACCCACCAATGGTACCACAGCTGACACTCATGAAGCTTCATGACACAACTCATAGAAGCATCCCACAAGTTATCGACTGAGAGAAAATAGGTAATAAAAATTAGCGTCTGGCAATATGGATATATTGTGGTGTGATTTGGTGTTTCTGTACCCGGCGTACAGTGGCGCGCAATTTGAAGTTAGGAATTGTGATAAAAATATGAATAATTTGAATAAAAAAACGAAAGTAAAATGTTTGATTCCAGCTCCTTTTAACGCTCATAACTCAGTCCAGACTGAGATTTCCATATATGAGCCCATAGACAATTTCGTTTGTAATGACATTCTAGATAATATTTTCCATAAATCATCGACTGCCGCCAGAAAAAAGAAAGGCACCAATTTTAGTCAATGCCCTTTCACCACAGAAGGCTAGAATGAGGTACATATAATATATGTGGAATGAAAAGTGTTAAATTGCTTTTAGGGAGAAAAACCAATGTCGAAAAAGGTACTACATAATACGGTCTAAAATAAATCTTGAATACGAAACTAAAATACAAATAAATCTTCATTAACAATGGTTAAGGATGCCGTTGAATCCGGTGAACTGAAATCTGGTCTACCGGTGGTGGAAATTACCTCTGGCAACCAAGGCTGCGGTCTGGCTGGAAGGAAAGTCTGTACGTGGGCTACACCAGCGGTGCCAACATGGCGGCTACTGTCAACTTGCTGGAGTGAGATCTAGTTTCTGTGATGCAGTACGACAGGATGATAGGCGTTTAATAAATAGTATTTTTTTGCAATATTTATTAAAGATTTTCATAATAATAAAGGGTAATAATGCATTAAGCAACATACGAATAAAATCAACGTGTTTTATAGGAACTTTATTTATTTTGTTAATAAACGAATTAAAAGATAATAATATAAGACTTTATTATTTCAAGTTTTGCCTTGGATTGGAGGCTGAGTATGAAATATTTGTATTAAAAAAATAAATAAATTATCATGTGGCGTGCAGCACTGCTTTTAAATATTTTTTATAATGACATTATTGTATTTGTAATGAATGGAAATGAAATGAATGGAACATGGAAAACAACTTAGAATATAAATGAAATGTATATATAACGAAAAATGGATGCAGTAATATAATATCTAATATGTATGTAAGTACATTCATGAATCGAAATCTGAATGTTACATGAATAATTTTATCTACCCCTACGTAAAATAAAAATCATGATGACTGTCATAATTATGATTCTCCTATCATTACTTACGGGAGTCCAAATTATTAAAGACAGAAATCTGAAGTGGCAGTGGGCCGGTCACATTTGTCGAAGACACGTTTTCATCTATAGAGTGGAGATCGCGTCTAGGCAAACGCAGTGTAGGGCGCCCTCCAGCTAGGTGGAGTGACGACATCTGCAAAGTGGCTGGCAGTGGTTGGATGAGAAGAGCTACAGACCGAGCTCAGTGGCGTGCCCTTGGAGAAGCATATGTCCAGCAATGGACGAACACGGGCTGACGATGAATCATTTAATCACTTTATTAATATTAGGAGAGATTAAGAGAAATCGAATTAGGAAATCGATAATAGAATTTGTATGAGATAAGTTAAACAGGTGTGCTTCCTGATAACAATTAAATACGGTTTATTGAACTTCATTATATTATTATACGTATAGATGATACACCAAGTGACTGAGTTATCTAAGTATAAGTTATATGTATGATAAGCAACTGATAAAACATATCTTCACTATTAATAATATTTATTGGACGGTTGGACCAGAGGCTGACTAGCCGGCTGCTTTGCAACTTGTTATGGGTTCGATTCACGCATGGAACAATTCTTTGTGTAATCCAAATCAAAGCACTAGACTTACCACTTTTCAAAAAAAACTAAGGCAATTTTTAATAACTAAATGTTATTATAATTTAACCGAATTTATGACTGATGACAGAGGAAATATATAATGTTAACAATGAAGATTTTTATTGTTTCCGTAAGTTAATGTAAACATTTAGTTACTTAAATGTTATTATAGTTTAATTGAGTATACGGCTCATAGAGTAAATTTTCAACACAAATAATAGTTTTATTAAAACTTGATATTGATATTAATTTAGTTTGTAATTAGGTGTATTATGTTCCATAATGTAGACAGAGAAGATTATTGTCTATAAACACACTAGGTTAAGAACATACTATAAAAATTTTGTATGTCTGTACAGACACAATGTGGCGCACTACCATAATATTATCTACCATCTATTGTAACATACCTACATTGACGAAATAAACAATATTTGTATTTATATTTGTATTTCCACTGATTGCTGTTCTGGATCCGGGTGTGATGTGCATGGACAGCTAAGATGTTGTAAAACAGAATTCAGAAAAATATTTTGCGATTAGTAAATCACATGTTTGGATAAGTAAACACAAATTGCTTTAATAGATTAAGGAGTATATCCAATGTAGCGATTCAAGTCGCCATTTTTTAAGTAGCTAGAAGTTCCGTCTTTATTGAAACAAAATTTCTTTTTTCCTGTATAGAAGCACTATTTTTATGGATTGTCAGTATGAATATGTCAGTGAGAACCAAGGACTTTAGCTTTTTCTTGTTTTTTTTATTATTTTAGTATTTGTTGTTTGTATTATGCGTCAGGCGTGTCTTTACATTGTTCTCACTTATATGTATGTAAGTACAATATTCGATAATGTATCAGAGAGATTGTAAAACATATTTTTTTAAAGCGTAACGAATGGAGTTTCTTGCTCGTTCTACTCCATTCGAATCTACTTTTTGGAACGAGCACCTAGCTTTGCTGACGGATAGACTGATAGACTATTATTTATTTTGTATCTGTCGATGTTTCCAGTACCAAATAAAGTGAAATAAATGGTTTAATGTCGATGTCGAGTCGAATGCTTTGACTTTAGAAAATTATTTTGACGTTGTTCTAAACCATGTACGAGATGCTTTTTTTTCTTGAACAGCAGCCGAGTCTCCAATACAATGTGGTCGACTATATTGCCAGTGTCTACGAGATACTCGAAAGATTAATTTTTGTATACATATGTATTGACAGTTAGAAGTACCGGCTTTATTCCGGACTAGAATATATCTCAAACATAATTATCTATTTTGAAATAGACATATTGTACATAAAAAATACTTCCTTCAACGATAGTGTCACGAGCATATCAAATACATTTATCTAGTAAGTCTTTACGTTCTCTTCTATGTCGTGGGTACATTTACAAATACACCCAACGCACAGAGACATCATGCCTAGACCAAGAACATTTATTTGGGGAAATTATTATAGGGGGGAAATTATCGAATGACTGCTCCCGCCTAGGTGAGGCGTGAGGAAGTGTCAGACTCTTACTGACTAAAAACCACCCCGTTCCTTCTCCTGCACGTCGAGCCGGAGCCCCGGTTACCCGTTAGGTTCTCCGCGACACTTAGTATGTACTAAGGTGAAAGGTGATGCAACTATTTTTACTATTTATGATAACTTCGATTATATATTAAACTAGCTGTTGCCCGCGACTTCGTCCGCGTAGATTAATGACTTCTGACAGAATTAATCAGAATCAATTCAGTGCCCAAGTAAGATTTACCTATTTTGAAATGATTTATCGTAGTTTCAATAAATAAATAATCCCACAGGGATCTTACCAGTACAGTGCCCGATCACGTAAGGTTTGAGTAATAAAAACTATTCTATCGACTATTGTTGTACCGAATCTCTCTAAAATAAGTTCAGTGGTTAAGAGTTAGAGAGTCCTGGGGCATTGACGCATAGTTCTCGTTCCCGTGGGACATCTGTGATAGAAACTATCAAACGTTACCTAGGTCCCAAATCATCGTTCACCGAATGTAATTCAAAAAGATTCAATGAATCTAAATTCAATGGCTAAGACGATTTATACAAACTCTCATTCCCTATTTTATCCCCTTAGGTGTGGAATTTATCAAAATCCTTTCTAAAGAGATACCTATGTCATAGTAACTTTATGCATGCAAAGTTTCAGCCCGATCAATTTAAAACTGGCAAAGTATCATACAAACTTTCACCCTCTATTTTACCCACTTTGGGATGAGAATGTTCAAAAACCTTTCTAAAGGGACGTTTACGTCATAATATCCATCTGCACGCCGAATTTCAACCCGATCGGTGTAAGAATGACAAAGCTTCATACAAACGTTCATCCCCTACATTACCCCATTGTAGGTGGAAATAATCAAAATCCTTACTTGGGGATGCCTACGTCATAACATCTACCTGCATGCCGAATTTCATCTGCATCGGTGGAAAACTGACAAAGCTTCATATAAACTTTCACCCCCTATTTTACCCCCTTAGGGTTGGAAATGATCAAAATCCCTTCTTAGCGGATGCCTATGTGATAACATCTATCTGCATGTCAAATTTCAATCCGATCGATTTAAAACTGACAAAGTCTCATACAAACTTTCATCCCCTATTTTACCCCCTTGGGGGTGAAAATTATCAAAATCCTTTCTTAGCGGATGCCTACGTCATAACATCTATCTGTATGCCAAATTTTAGCCCAATCTGTCCAGCGGTTTGGGCTGTGCGTTGATAGATCACTATGTCAGTCAGTCAGTCAGTCAATCACCCTTGAATTATATATATATAGATAGATAGATAGATAGCCTACGAGTAGAATATAGTTGGATTTGTTTATTAATATCCCACATGTTTGTTGCCATTATTTTTTAAATAAATTACTCATATCTTGACAAGACAAACATAGATAACTGATTGCCTTCAAAATATACTCCTGGGTGAAAAATGTTGATTTGAAATGAATTTTCTTTTTTCATAGCTTAATAATCTTGATATCTAAATATTCTTAAATATACGTATTAAACAATATATATTTTGATTGATTAACAATTAGATTAACGGCACGGTTGGCGCAGTAATTAGACAACTGGCTGCCTCACAACCTGTCGCCATTGCGATCCTAATATCCTTGTTCCGAGTCTCGATGTATGTTGTATTGAGTGTATAATTATGAATTTGTATGTGTGTAAATACAAGGCGAACATAAAAATAGTAGTATAGTTAATTTGGAAAAGCACATGGGCTACTTTTATATTTGGAAGACTTTAACTATAGGTTATGTAAAAGGCAAACAACATTGCATGCACATCAAGTGCTTACAAATAAAGTGATAAAGTGACATTTGTTCGCAAACTCGCCATATTTTTGATTCCACGTTCAATTGATGTCTCAATTAGGTAACAGCTGACATTTGGTGCGTTACTTGCCTCTATCAAATAAAATAATGTGTTGCATTGTTCGCAAATTGTACCCGTATTTGTTAACAATAGACCCTAGTCGTATGACATCTGCACACAGCCATTGATTTACATTTATAAATGAATCTTATCGGTTTATTTTTAAAGTATAAATTCCTTTGACCCTTCGTATCACTGATATGGAAATCAGAGTATAGGAATATAAGCTTTAGTAGTAAGATGTTAAAGTTTGTTTTGGTAAAACCTGCTTTAAATAGTCGTATGTTGAATGTCCCCGGATTGCCACTTATGAGTTAATCGTTCAGTCGTCAAAGGCTAACAACTATGTATTTGTATTTTTTGTGTATTTTGCCCGCTGGGTGTTATGTAAGATCGGCGCCTGCGCAACGGAATTTAATGTTTGTAGTTAAGTTAATTAGGTACCGTTGCGATAGTTATAAGGACAATATGTCCTTTTATTAATCTAAATGTAGTGAATATTAATCCTTTCACTTTAATTAGATAGCCTAAAGAGCGATTTCAAAGTTTTAATTTCATGAATTTAAATTACTTTCAATGATTTATTACCTATTTCAAATATATTACAACACGTCTATTTGCCAATATAAACGGCACAAGATTACCTCCAATAATTTTATGTGTTTTGTATTTGTATATTCGCACAAGGATTTTCTTTAACCAACGCTTACAAACAATCCATTTTAACATTTTAATCCATTTTAATATGATGCAATAAAACAAACGTTAAAGAAATAATTTACGTACCAACGTACGAAATGGTGTAGATTAGATATTTTCCGATAAATAAAATAGTAACGGCTATTTGTATGTTGGATATCTAATGAAAGATAACCACGCCTCTGTTTTAGGAAGGTCGGATCAAATACTCCTTTTTACAAGAAAACAAATAGTTTTCAGTTTAATAAAACTATGTACTTCTAAATTACAACGCATAGTATTAGTTACAAATAGAATCGACTAGAGGTCATATATAAGTAGCAAGAAAGGTCAAATTCATATCGAACAGAAAGACTTCATCTGGGTTCAAGGAAATTTAAACCGAGATACCTAGGTGATATCGTTCTAATTCAGAAACGTAAGGCATGTCAACAAGGCAATACAGTATCAAGAATAAACCACAATGATTACAGACTGTCGCACAATAAACTATAAACGAAGCTCTACTACTAGGCAACTACAGGAAAATCACAATATTTGCTTAATTTCACTGACGACACTTACGTACATAAGTACATAATGTACACGTTTCGTTTATCGCAGCTATGTGCACTTCAAACTTCGTTAACATAAAATATATTATTTAGCGAACACAACATACATATTCATTGTGCCAAACACAACAACGATAGCACAAATCCATTAATACAAACATGGGATTGTATATTAAAATTAATAAATAGAATAGCCTCGTGTCTATCTTAACGGCTCAACACAACGACTGATAACAATTTAAATGTATATTCATAAACAATTATCGTCACTTAATAATGAATATTTAAATAAACTGTTCGACTCTTGAATTTTAACTGCGTTGGGGAGTCAGTCAGAATATCAATCGAGACTCTTTAGTGTGTTTGCACACAGCGGGCTCTAGGTTTGCGCTCGTCTCGACAAAGTCGGAGCGGCGCGCACCGGGCCGAGTGACGACGTGCACACGAGACGCGATCTCCTCGAGCGCTTTATAACAACGCTACCGCATTCGAACAACTCAGTATCCAACTGGTATCTGCTTATTCAAAGCGCTTCAAACAAACTACTAAAGTTACCTCCAACTGTGCAACAATGGCTCCCATCGAGAAGAACGAACAACCCAAATACCTGGAGGGCGACATCAAGGCATCGGCTCTCGAACTGATTGGCAACACACCCCTCGTGGCATTGGACCGCCTTTACACCGGGCCCGGACGCATTTTGGCAAAATGTGAGTTCATGAATCCTGGTGCATCAATCAAGTGCCGCTCATCGTTGAGCATGATTAACCGTGCTATTGCATCTGGTGAGCTGAAGCCTGGTGAACCTGTGGTGGAAATTACCTCCGGCAACCAAGGCTGCGGTCTGGCTGTGGTGTGCGCTGTGTTGGGACATCCTCTGACGCTCGCCATGTCCAAAGGTAACAGCGCTCAAAGGGCACTTCACATGGAAGCTCTTGGCGCAAAATGTGTTCGAGTAGATCAAGTTGAAGGTACTTACGGAAATGTAACTTACGCTGATGTAAAAGCTGTTGAAGAGGTTGGCATGAAAATAGTGGAGGAACAGAATGCATACTTCGTTAATCAATTTCACAACGAGGCCAACGCTGATGCTCACTACAAGAGCACGGGACCCGAGATCTGGAAGCAGACAGGACACCACGTAGACGCTTTCGTAGCGACAGTGGGTACCTCTGGTACATTTGCTGGCACCTCAAGGTATCTGAAGGAGCAAAACCCTGACATCAAGACATATGTCGTAGAACCGGCTGGTGCTGAAGCTATCGCGGGATGCCCAATCACGAAACCTCTTCACTTGCTGCAGGGATCAGGATATGGTTGGATTCCTGATTTGTTCAAATTTGAGCATATGGATGGCACATTGAGTGTGACTGATGAGGAGGCAGTAAAGTATATGAAGTTAGTCGGTGAGAAGGAAGGTCTGTACGTGGGCTACACTAGTGGGGCCAACGTGGCGGCTGCTGTCAAGTTGTTGGAGTCAGGGCTGATCCCTGAGGACGCGTGGGTGGTGACCCTACTGAACGACACGGGTCTTAAATACACACCTGTGCCTGAGGAGTTATTCAAGTGAGAAGTATTATATCTTTTCTACGTTAGATAATAATTATAATAAGTTTAAGTTATTGCAAATTAGTTATATTTTAAGATAATTATTTAATACTATTGTGATTAATTGTGATTGATAACATCTGAGGTGTTTTAATGTTATCTTTGACAAATATTATTGTGATGTTTGTGTTTGTTTACTATTTAATTTATTATGTGATGAATAACTATGATATTAAAATTCTGTTCATTGATATTATTTAAAGTAATTGATACATTATAGTGTAAGCTTGTGTTATGATAATTATTTATAATATATAGATTGATATATTGTATTGGTTGATAATAATCGTGATGATTAATAAATATTTTTTCTTGACTTAAATCTGTGATATTTATTTCTTCACTCAAAAACAATTTAAAGTAGGTAAGTATTATGAATATTTAGTTATTTCTATTTGTATTATGGCATTGAGTATTCCTTTGAATAAGAAATAAGTCTCTGAATGTTACTATTCATTCCATCTTTGATCAACAAATGGTATGCATTTATTGATTTTATGATGAGACAGACAATTATGTCTGTATTGAGAATTAACATCTGTTCGTGAACTTTCTTTCGTACAGAAAATTTCTCATCTAGAACTCAAAACATTTTAATAGTTTAAATCATTTGCAACCTTACGATCTTCGGATTATAAGATAATTAGCAGTTAGGGACAGTTTATTATTCAAGTTGCCTTAAAACCATTGTAACCTTGGCTTTACCGTCTGTGTTATCAAAGAGAAAACACATTGGAACATGATGACGCATAATCATAAGAAAACACAATCTCCAGTTAATTAAAGTCTGCAATAATGGCTGATTGACTTATCGGTTATTTTACTGTCAAAGTCTCATCATTAAAGAGGTTATTGAACATAGTACTTTGGATGGAAACCAAGGCGTTGTTTGTATGGCAATTTGATCTTTACCTACATATATTATATAGATGAAGTTAGAGATGAAAATTGTTTGTTTTTAATAAAGGTAAAAACTTGTCGCCCTTTTAATTAATGTGACATTTTAATATTACAAGCTCCAGCATTGGTTAATAAAATCTTCGATAGTTATATATTAAACACATATTACCCTCCCCTTCTCCAATCTCCCCAATGCCTGAATCCCCAACAATCCTCAAACTCCTAATCCCCAAAAGGCCGGTAACGCACTTGCAACACCTCTGATGTTCCAGGTGTCCATGGTCGACGCCGATTGCTTACCATCAGGTGATCCGTCTGCTCGTTTACCGGCTTATGCCATAAAAACATGTAAAGTACATATAATATTGTGCGCATTACATTGTTATTGCAATTGGTTATCAAAAGCATTTATTTTAATTTGCGAAGTAATTTGCAAGCGGTTTCAAAACTTCAATTATTCGCGCTTGTAATTTAAGGTCATCATCTCGAAACGCAATTTGAGTACAAATATTAGCAAGGATAGTAATAAACAGATTTTGTACCTGGATTTATATCTTACAGGGACTAATAAAAGATTAACACATCCAAAGCTGGACAAACGCGTGCTAATTTAGTTATATCTTGTCTGTGAAAATCATACAAGTTCTCTGAATGGAACATATTTTCTGCATGTAAAACTTTGTATTAAATTGATTTTGATTTTGTTATCTGTTTTAATATTCTAAAGAGGTAACATGGCTCATTTTTATACTGAAATAGGTTCGAGGCCAATTTAAAAATAAATTTTATCATTAGCAAGCCTATTTTTTCAGGGTGTAACAATAACAATATGAGTACCTAAGTGTATTGTAGAAACTTTAGAAAGTGTTAATGAATTATTTTATATTAATTGTGTAATCTTATTATCGTACCAATTGACGTCACATGGCATTGTATTCTAGAATTTGGATAAGTTCTTAGCGGAACAAAAAAACAATACCTGAGAGGCAGTAGGAAATGCTTTTGAAGAATTGGTTGCCTCCCGTCCAGCTGATTTATTTAAGAATTTATTTAATAAACTGCCATTGCGTTGGAAAAGACCAACAAAAAAAAAATCGTTTAAATTTTTTAATACAAAAAGTCAATTACAAAGATAAATACTAATATTATTCCAATCCATTGTATGTATGTAACTGCTTCATTTATTAAAGAATCGAACTACATAGTAATTCCAAGTGATTCATTAAAATAAAGTTGTATTCGATCTACTGTCAAATGAATACTTATTTCAATTTTAATTATCAAGGTGTGTTCTCATTTGAATTCGATACACAATAAATAAGTTTCTATATTTCTTTCTACCGTTTTTTATGACCTTGAATTATGTCAATAGTTATCAAAAAGATGTACCGAATAATAATATCTATTAGGTCGGTATAGGGTGGAAATTCTTATGACTCATAGAGTTGTTTTTGCTTGCGGTTTCTTTGATACTGACAGACATAAGTACTAGCTTAAGTTTAGACAAGTATATCGTGAATCTATTTTTATATGTCCTTGGTAATAGATCGTATTTTCCCGAATAAGAGAGAAGTCTGTCACTCATTTCTTTGTCTTATCATTCTAACCTGAGTGACAGAGCTACCTGATTTTTAAAACCTAAGGGAGTATGCAAATGTGCACTTTTTGCCATTAATCCTAAGGTTTGATATCATATTATACGAAATGTGCTTTTTACTGGGTACCATATCCGATTGTTTCTATGTATGTTGTTGCATTGGTGGTTTAGATGGGACTTAGCAAGACTTGAGACTCAACTCGGATTCTTGGTTCGGTCGCGCTTACGAGTATTGAAGCAACTTGGCATTTTTTGTTACATTACCATAGTCCGGAGCACCAAGCTATATTATCTTGAAGTTATCAACGTCCGTCAATCAAATCACTCATTGTAACTTCCTAATTCTGAACACTGATACGTGATATCACATTCCTATATCGTACGAACCATGTAAGGACAGGAACATATAGGTAATACCAACACGGCACATGTCAAATCATAGACCCTGAATAGATACAAACATACAAAATAAACTTCCTTTTAACTCTATGTACAGATACAAGCAGCTCAAGCTACTCAATTTTAGCATTTTTCTTTAATAGATTATCAGCTCTATTAGTTTCTTGTAAGGTTAAAAATCCGTTGAAATAATTGGACAGATTGTAGCAGGTTGATGTGCTGTCATCTATTATTATCTTTGAATATTCATAGCATGTTCACATACGTATGTAAATATTGAATATGCAAGTATAAATATAATATATATAGTAGGTAAATAACTACATGTATATATATATATATATACCTAATGGATAAGTCAAATAATCGCAGTTACTATTGAAAAACTTGATTTCGTCTCGTTTTATTGATTTGTATCATTACTACAGTCATAAAATTAATTAAGGGACTTGACTGACTTGAGTAATCAGTAATGGTTTCTTGTCTAAGTAGCAAGCAAGTACGTAAGTATCATTTGGATTTTCATTTGGGTATTAGCCATGTAGTCAAATTCAATACTTTTTTCGAACTGTGTTTTCTTAAAAATTTGCTGGACAAATACTAAAATTAAGTTGATTAAATAATCAATTAATGAAAGGGTGATTATTTTTTACTGAATTGAACAGTCAAAATAATTTATTTTTGATTTAGGAAAGTACTCAATTATAAAGATATCCTTCATCCTTTTCGAAATGCTAGGTGTAATGTTTAGCATCACTTATTGGAGGTGCTATATCCCTAATCAGATCCTTATAAGATGTTTGATTTTATTCAATTTAATGACTGGTTAGCAAACATAGCATAAACTAGCTTTATGTACAATTTAAGACATAGTTCTGCGATGTAAAACCGCAAAATTGAAAGTACGCATTCAAATTCATAGCATATAGAAACAATTGTGGTTTCTTAAGGTTCGATTGTGATTTTCAACAACACAATTACATGGTCACTGCTATACTTAAAATAGTTACGTCTTTTTATCGAAGCTAAAGAAGTTTATAAATAAAAACGAGAACCGATGACGGAAGGGAATCGAATGATTGCTATTGGCGATCCATTTCCTTTACCACCTATTAAGGCGGGCGCTCTTTAGACAGGTGTTTCTTTGTACACCATAAATGGCATACCTGACCATGATTAAAAAACAATAATAACATCAAATAAAACTTTACCGACCTGTCTTTATAATTACACAAAGTCTTCCGAAACTGTTATTTAGTGTCGTGATTTTCACAACTGAATATTAAAGATGTCCGTCTCGCTAGGGTCATGTGATCCATCTTGGCAATAGTTATCGTCTACCTTTTTATGTGGGCGTCACTCATACTTTTTCTTAATGGCGTTTTTGATAAACGTTGCCAAATCGTATAATTTTTACATCGGCTGCGGCTAGACTGGCAAAAAACTCAACGAAATTGGATGATTTCTGTGTCGCAATCGACACAGAAATCATCCAATTTCGTTGAGTTTCGTAGGGATAGAAAATAAATATATGATTTCGCAAAAAAAAAATCGGTTATTTCCAGTGTCTAATTCTATTTGTGTGATGTCGATATTTGTTTTGGCGATGTATTTGTTGACCGATGACGTGGTATAATGGTTATTTTCCTTCATTGAGCAAATGTTTGTGATCGTGCCGGGATCGTCTCCCGAGAGTTTAGCAAAGACAGCCATTACTCTGAGTCCTGAGCAAACATATTGTTGTTGATTGTTTATTGTTTTCCTAAGCGTTATTGTTGTTTTGTTAGGTTATAGTGGATAATTTTATTAGTATGGTTAGCGTGTTATCGTATTAGCATGATGCATCACTGCGGCAATGAAATAAGACGTGCGTTGTTGCAATGATGTTGCAATATCTAATGCACGCAACAGTATTGCTCCGAGGCCAGGAATTGTTTGAAGTTTGAAAATGACTCTGATAATAAAATTGGTCAATCCTGTTAAACGCCCTTCCTCTCTCCTACCAATTTTTAATGTTGCTGTGGCCGACAGGGTCCATAATTGTTACTATTGTATTTTCTAACCAC